ACATGGAAAACCAATTGTTTTAAATTTAATAAAGCATTTTTCTCTTGGGCTCAAACAGTAGAAGCAGCCCAGAGTAGAATTTAATGTGTGAATTATAAACTTCTGAAAACAAGGGCTTATAATCAAGACATTGTAGAATTTTTCTTTACAGTGTATTCTCTAATGCTTTGGCCAATGTATTTCTAAATGCACCAGGAGACTACTTTTTGAGCTTGCTCTCCTTACCAACCCGGTAACTCAAAGCAGATGGATCATTTTCTTGAATCTTAGCCTAAATTTTTCCTTGGAAATTTCACTTGATATGACATGCTTCCTATCAGCCCAAATCTCATTCTAAGATTCACTGCCTGGATATTCCACATTTCATAGTCCATTTTTAAGTTGCAGCTTAAACCTTTTTCTGCTTCCAGGTTCTGATGAACACATGCTTTCTGTATACATGGGTTCCCTGACATCCTCTTCCATTGTATACAATTTTCCCCATTCAGCAGGCTCAGCCTGGTTTGAGGACATGAAACTTACAGTCATAGCTGGTCTCCGGCCCCACACAATGGCAGGAGTTGTCATTCTTGTTTTCCTCTGTTGAGTGGATCTCAGTCTAACAGCATGGGTTTTGGACACTGAGACACAGGTTCAAATCCCAGCTCTGCCAAGGCACTTGACCTTTCTGAGGTTCAGTCTTCTCGTCTTTAAAATGGGCATAATGATACCTCCCAGGATTGTGGCTAAAGTGCACTTTGATAATCTGTGCCAAAGCAAATGGCAGGATGTGGTATCTCATAAGTGCAAATCGGTTACTACTATTATTCTTTGAATTACTCCTATCTCCTGGGGCTGCAGAGGAATTAGCTTTTAAGTATGCTGAAACTTACAATGATCAATTTTGTGGAATCTCACACCAGAAGACATGTTGGAAAGGATTTCATGTCAGCCTTCCGTTTCCCGCCCTGGAAACTGAGCTCTGAGAAGGCTATCTTTCTCCAGTGCTGGTCACTACAGGAGCACCGGCCAATAGCTTTCCTTAGCTCTCTAAGAAAGTCCAGTGCAAAACTACAAACCTAGGCTTCACCGCCTGCCTTCAATTTGGACTTCTTCCCTAGACAAGACCACAGAGGGCAGCAGAAGCCAGGAAGGCACACAACAGTTCTGTCCAGATAGAAGTCCCCCATAGTGGGCAACATGCCTCTGATGTCATTTCCATGCACAGAACAATTCCCCCAACCAACCAGTAGGCACTGGGTACTGTGGCACAATCAGGAACCTGCAAGTGAAGATAATAGTCCCACAACTGCAGGGACCCTGCTTTTACCAGGGCTAGGACCAATGCTGGGGCTGGACCAGATCACCAACTCCTGCAAAGCCTTAGGACTGCCCAGGTCATACTTCATCCCCTTTAAATGCATTTCACCTGTGGACTAGGTAGATTCCAAGTATTCTGAATTGCAACTGTTCCCCTATCAATCCCATGGGAGGGGTGGGAGGTGGCTGGGACCAAGTAAGGGTAAACTTCAAATTTTGGAAGGGGCATAATAAATCCATGTTTCTCTAACACTGGTGTCTTTGCACTGTGTACTTAATAACATTTAGAAACAAATTTCTCAAAAGTTGGAAGGAGAGCTTTCGGGAAAATGGTAACCATATTAAACTGCAAATGTGGTAATCGACTAACGGTGGCTGGTCATCCACAGCCCGTTCAGTCTTTGGCACTGGCATCAACAATTGGTGTAAGAACATTGAAAATTTCTGTGCAAATATGCACCTGTGTTTCCCTTCCACTTTCCAAAATTAGTATATAATTATATGCAATTATTACTTTTATAGTCATTTGGGAATTTCATCCCATTTTTTTAAAGGGATGGGCTTTCAGGTTTCAATGCTTAGAAAATCAAACCTTAACATGCACCTGCCATGAGGGTACTATCTGATTCCCTTAGATATTTATGCATGTTGAATTAAGTACTTAATTTAAGTTAAGCAATTAAATTTTAAGATCTTATTACAGAAAATGCAGGAGAAGAAAAAACTCGATCAGGAATAACACAATATTCTTAAAGAACAAATGCATTAACAAAGACTGTCCTTGTTATCATGCATAAGATATTTTTATTCAAAGTCTCACCAATGAGGTAGCAAAGCTGCACATTAATTAAGAGCTTTCCAGAGGACAAATATCTCCACGTTTTTGGAAAGGAACCTCTCATTTATTTACCTAAGCAGGAAGGGCAGAAGCCTAGAAATGAGTTTGTCATTTCAGAAAAGATTTAAGCACTTGAGAAATGCTTGGATAAATTCTAAACCTGGAGGGTAAAATTTCAATCAGTATCAGTATAAGCAATAGAACACAGCCTCACACATAAGTCATCTCAGAAAGAGGAGAAGCTCGGGGTTGGGGGGATGGAACCTCCAGAAAGAAGCACGTACAGGAATTTTTTCAGTAGTCCTTTCACTATTTAACCAATCTTTGCTGGCTGGATTGGCCACCACACTCTAGACTCAACTTAAGTCTTCACCCCACAGAGTAAACCTTTTCCCTCTTAATTATCCTCATCAGAAACTCAACACAGATAATTGCCCTCTGCTGCATAATAAATCATTCACATATTTTCAAATGTTAAATTGTCTCAACCTTGAATCCTCTAGTCTAAATATCCTCTATTTTGTATCCTTGCTTCCTAGATCGTGTGCACCACATAGCAAACTCAACAAATATTGGTCCTTGCTCTGACCTCTTTCCAAGAGTATCCATCCAAAGCCTCTCTGAACTGTGGAGCTCAGTACTCCATATAAAGCGGTGACTCCTATCACAATCTCTACAAGAGATTTAACTCAAAACTCCAGAAGCTTTCACAGCGTCAAGCAAAAAGGTAAGATGCTATAATTTATACCTATTGAAGTAACAATTGGATAGAGAATTCCAAAAAGTCTGAGTACCTTTTTAACTTTGCAGTAAAATTCGAGGCACTTCACCTACGATTTTAGGGTTTCATCAGTTTTGAGCACAATATCCATTGACCTTTGCCAACAGTTTCTTTTAATGCGTTAGTATAAAATTCCTCATGTGCTATAAGAATTTTGGTTGTCAGTTCCAGAAAAATAATGGGGGAAGGCGAGTAGGTAAAAACTGGTTCAAGGCCACTCATCATTTTTCCTTTTAAAAGAAGTTTTAACCCTAAATTTTCAGAGTTTTCAGAAGTTTAACCCTGAATTTGCATCAACAGGATGATATATATATATGTGTGTGTGTGTATCATCTTTTGTGTATGTATATACATATACATCATATATATATATAGCACTTCCCTTTACTGGAATTCTTCCTTAGTCATAAATTATATTTCAAGTTGGCAAAAAAATGTTGATCAGAATTTCAAAAAATTGAAGCATCAAAGTAACCAGCATGCGGTTTTTCAAGTGTGCAGAAAGTTCTCTAAATACAAAATGTGCTGCCGGTCCACCAAAGATCCCCTCACCCAAGCAAGCAGTCCGCGGCGAGGAGGGCCAGCATGTCCCTGTATGGTCAGAAGGGCAGTGGTGCAAGAGACAATGATTTCAACCAAATATGGTTTGCCTCTCGCCAAATTTTTCGCATGTCCAATAACAATAAGTTCACAAAAATCCAGCCAAGCATTACTTTCCCCCCAAAAGTGCTTCTCAGATTACAAAACAGCTTCGGAAAGTTCAGCCTGACAAAACAAATATGGTACTAGGAGGAGAGACCTGGAAGGCAATCACAAAAAGTCTCATTTAAATTCCTGGAAAGCACAGCTTCTCCAAACACAGCTATTCAGCTCTTTGGAAGGCAGCACTTGCGAGAGCCATGAGTTCCGTCCCCCAACACAGAACCGGCAAATCCGAATGAGATGGACGTCACACTCCCTACTCCAAAGAATGCATCAAATATCCACTCTACACCGCGGAAAGTAAACCCAAAAGCGGAGTTTGCCGCCTGCCAACTACATAAGAATTAACACTCGGGTATTTAGGATTCTAAAGATCCCTACTACCCCTAACATTATAGCTACAGAGAACCAGAAATCAACAGAACACACTTTAACCTTTAAGAAGTGCAGTTTTGTGCTGAAGAAAGACAAAAATCTTCACTCCCTTCCACAGCCAAAAATAAAAGATCACCGTTACTGAGCCACAGGGGCACAACTGGATCCGCCCTTCCCCAAAGTGCAAGGAGTCCTCCTGTTCGCTTCTCCAGAATTTCCTGCTTCTCCCCAAACCACCTTCAATATTCCCCACACACGGGTCTGGCCCCCAAACGCGGAGTGTAACTCCGCGCAGAGCAGCGCGCAGGCTGCAGCGCCACCGAGGAAGGTGTCGCCCACCCTCAGCCAGTGCCCTCTCTTACCAGCCTTCTGCCTAAACCGCGCCGCGAAGCGCACGACACCGTGGTGCTCGGCGCTCCCCCTGGCCGCGCGGCACTGGAGTCCGAGGCGTGCGTGTCACATTTTATTCCCCAGCAGCCGCTCGGGTGCGCGCGCCACGCGCTCCCACACTGAACACTGACGCCCGCTAGAGCTGGGACCCCGGCCGGGGGCTCCCGACTCACGCCGCCGAACTTGGGGGCTGCAAAAGGCGAGTGTGCGGCTGGAGTCGTCCTGGAGTCCTCCTCCTACCACTCCGGGGTCTTCCAACTGCCCCGCGCTCCGGTCCCGGGCGGCCTGCGGGATCACCTCTCCGGAGCCAGCGCTGCTCCACGCCGGCGGCAGCTGCAAGCGCGGGCGGCTGGGCACAGCGGGTGGCTCGGCCTCAAAGCCGGCGGGGGGCTGCGCTCAGCCCCGCGCCGCACGCCTCATTGTTTCGGGCAACGCGGCGGCGGCTCCCGCGGCTAGAGGAACCGCGGCCCCGAGCCCCGGGGAGAGGCGGCGGCTCCCGGCCCCCGCACCGAGGCTGCGCCGCGCCCCGCCCCCGAGCTCCGCTCGCCCCCTCCGCTCGCCCCAGAGCCCCCTCCCTCTTCGCCATCCCTTTCATCCTCCCAGCTCCAGGCTCACCTAGCGGGCGGGAGCCGCGCACTGGGAAGTTGGGCTGCCCCCTCCCCGCGCCCCCGGCCCGGCAGCTCGGCCCGCCGGCGAGCGCAGGCGGGGCGCTCCCTGGCTGCGCGCGGATCCCTGCTTCTCGCGGAGAGTGATTGCAGACTTGGGCTGCGTGGGGCGGTGCGGGGCAGCACGGCTGCCTAAAAAGGCGTGTTTCTCCCCGGCCGCCGCCTCCATCCAGCCCTAGTTCTTCCGAGGGTTACCTGCACAGTACCCCCCTGGCACCGCGCCTGGACACCCCTGGGGCACTCGGGTCCCGGGCGGCGGCAGGGATGCAGGAATGCGCACAGGCTGTGGGCGGCGGGTAGGGAGTCCGGTCGCCTGCCCCGGCGGAAGTGAGTCTTTACCCTCTCCAACACCTCCCTCCGCCAGCGCCGAAGGCCGGGCTACCTGCGCGCCTGGCAGCGCCTGGCAGCCGGCTGGGTGGGGCGCAGGGGAGCGCAGCATCCTCCCCAGCTCGCTCGCTCCCTTTGTTCCTCTCCCTCAGCCAGGCTCCGAGCTGCTGTCTGGCCCTCGCTCCCGGAGCTTCTCTAAGGATCTGGGATGGACTTGGGAGCGGCCCACCTTCCATTTAGAAAGGGTCGCTCGCCAAGTCCGGTAACGGTGCTCTCTGGAGACCCCCACCTGCCACCCTTCCCCACTGCCAGTCCCCAACCCCAAGAGGGACGGAAAGTTGTTGGGGTAGCGGCCTGCAGGACACGTGGTGAAGCGGCCTCGGGAGCCAGTGGGCGGCTGCGGGCCGGGCAGCTGGAGCCTGCGGGCGGGGCCGCGGGGAGGTGCAGATCGAGTGTCCGTCTGGTCGCGTGCGGAATGTCCACTTGTCACTGCGACCCTTGTGTTTTTTAGAGGCGGCGGCAGCTGGTCCTAGGACCCCGAACCGCGCCGCCCTTTGTTTGCTGGTGAATACTCTCCTCTGAACTTCAACGTGGCTCTCCGCGCGCGCTCCTGCCAGGCAGATGGGTAATATTGTTAAGGTTGGGCCCATCTCAGGGGGACTGGTTAGTCACCCCTCACCCCACCCCACACCCTCAATCGCTACAAGGATGCACATTTTGGAGACAGAGATCTTCCTTTAAATGTATTATTTAAAAATCCACAATTACGTTAATTTAAGTAGTTGACGCTTTTTTGGGGGGTGGGAAAGCAATTAACTGGCTACCCAATTTGTTCAGCATTCATTAGTGCCTGGAACTCTGAGCTAGACAGTGGGCGCCCAAAACTCCCTCAAAGAGTTTACAGAAATGTAAAACAACACGGGAATTAAACTAAAATCGAGTGGGCATCATGCACTGTGTTCAAACAAAAGTGTGGGCTGAAAACGCTTACTCGGTATTTCCCCAATTGTATTATGTCTGACACATGGAATTCTGCGGTAATGCCTGAATGAACAATGTGTTACATAGATTTCTTAAAAAAGAAAAAATTACATTTTATAAATGTGAAATACAGTGTGGTTAAAAGTGACAAAAACAAAACAAAACAAAAACAAAAAAACAACCTGATAGAGACCCATGACTGGTGGAGATAGAGAAAGGAAATACTGCAGACTCACCCTCTTAATAGCAGAGGGGCACAGAGGGCAAAGTCTGTGGGCTTCTGTTTCTCTTCTGTATAATGGGTATAATAGTACCTACCTTAAGCCTGACGCAGTGGCTCACTCCTGTAATCCCAGTACTTTGGGAGGCCGAGGCGGACAGGATCACCTGTCTCTACTAAAAATACAAAAATGAACCGGGCTTGGTGGCACGAGCCTGTAGTCCCAGCTACTCGAGACTGAGAGAGAAGAATGGCTTGAACCCGGAGGCGGAGGTTGCAGTGAGCCGAGCTGGCGCCACTGCACTCCAGTCTGGGCGACAGAGAGAGACTCTGTCTCAAAAAAAAAAAAAAAAAAAAAAAGTAGTACCTACCTTCAAGGTTTGTTGTAAGAGGTAGAGATCATGTGTTAAAAGCATCTCCCCCAGTGCCTGACACGTTATACCTAATAATTTATAGTAATTAATAAATGACAGTAGCCATTATCTTGAAACAGAAAAAAAATTATACACTTCTTATAGTGTATATGTATTTTATACACTTACTATCCTTTCTGCATAAATGTTGCCATAGTTGATGTCTTAAAGAAATTTTAATGAGTTAAATGAAAGTGTCCCAATAACAGTCAACTTTATAGAAGTAGAAAAACTACCATCTTAAGGAGAATATGCAAACTACTGTTGTAAACTTTTAAGTGGATTGAGTTCATTACTTATGATCGAGGCCGTAAATACACAGTCACTAAACTGACTTAAATCTATTGCTTTCCAACGAAACCACAATGCCAGTTTATATACAGAAAGCTATATGCTGATAATTGCTTCTGTCAAAGTGTAATGGTAAATAAAATATTTTGGCACCCTTTAATTGCTCAGAGACACCAGGAGCAGATTATTTAATTATTTTACTGGTCTATAGATTCATGAAGAATTCCTGAGCTCCTCTGGCACTATAATATTATTTTCCTTAAAAATATCATCAAAAACAACAAACCACAACAAACTTACTCTTACAGATAGGCAGCATTCAGAAATCCACTTGCTGTTATCCATTTGCTCATAATAACATGAATTTCCTTTCTTTTTTTAAATTCAGGGTTTCTCAGTTCTCCTTTTCTCACCCCGTGTTAACTAACCAGCTAAGCTTTCACAGGGACAATTCCTTCCCGTATCAGGAATTTGAAGCACATCATGAACAATCAACCAAATCAGGAAGCTCAGTTACTCAGCTGAGAAGCACTCAGGTGGGCCAGGGATGAAGAGTAAGTATTTTCTAACTCCACCATTGGTGAATCTGGGCTATTTTGTTTCACTTAACTATTGTTCATATCAATATATTTTTCTCCCATTCATTATGCTACTCGAATTTCACAATAAACCTATACAGATTATTTTACAGATGAGAAAACTCACCGATAGAAACTTTTAGGATCATTTTCTCTAAACATGACATCTTCGTTTTCTGGTTTACCTGAGATTTTCCATCTGTAGTATTGCAGAAACACATTGATTTCTTCCCTTGCTTGGGAAATTAGTACCTCAGAAAGGAAAATCTTCTATATCTGGGCTTCTCCTATTTAATCAGTGAAACAAATTTTCATGTGGCCGATCAGTATTAAAAAAAAAAAAAAGGAATTTCAGAGTCTTGCTTTTTGGAACCCATTCTCCACTGCTAAGATTAGGTAGAAACAATTGTTTCCTAGCCAACCCATAGTTTTTTGTGTGTGTTGTTTTTTTTTTTAAATAGTTCTCTTTGTCTTTGGAAATATTCATAAGGAAATAGACCACCATTAGAAAAAAACGCTTCAGGTATTTGGATATGTGTAGGGGCCAAAATCCTCGGCCAGCAGGAGCTTCTTCTACCTTTCTGTCAATATTTTTCAGGTGGAGAGAAAAACAGTATTTTTTAGCATCAGATATAGGAATGATGCCATTTTCAGTATCAACAGTAGGAAAGATAACACCACAATGCAATTGGTTGCCCTTAGGCTTGCTGACACCTGCGCTAGTCTGTGGGCTCCCGTCCAGGAAATAGAGGCTGGTCTTAGAGGTGGGGTCCTGGGGCCACAACCTGACCTCAGCTGGCAATGAGCTCTACCAGACAGAGCAATAGAGAAACATGTGGGTATGTGAGAGAAACTATCCTTTCCCAAACTTCTCCTTGTAACCCACTATCCAATATTAAAAAGACAGGAACTGAAAGCTGGGATCTCTGGGTTTTAGTTCTGACTTTGTCCCTTCAGTGATGTTATTTGAACTTTCTGAGTTCAAAGAACCTCATCAGCAATAGAGACAAAGGTCATCAGATAGCTGCACACAAGAATCTGAGTTCATATCCAAGCTTACAGGCATTCACCAAATCACAACACTTCACAGTTTATGTGAAGACTTTTCTATCCATATCTCATTGGATTTCTCCAAACTCTGAATGATGAAGTTCAGGGATGAGGGAATTAGGGATAATGGTTTATAGGCCAGATAGAGGTAGCCTTGCCCCTTCTTAATTCTATGATAATAATAATTACATCTAATCATTAATATTTGAAGGTCTATGTTCTAAATCCTTTGTAAGCATTAACTCATTTAATCCTCGTAACAGGTTTAATTTTAATTTCTTTCACATTTAACTTTTTATTTTGAAATACTTTCTGACTTACAGAAAATCTAAAAAAATACCAGTTGTCTATATTTCCCAAATATCACCACTTTCCTGTGTTTGCCTTATCATTCCTCGACTGTTTATGTTTCCTCCTGAACTGTCAGAAAGCAAGTGACGTACCCCTTTAACCCTAAATACTTCATTTTGTGTTTCCTAAGAGCAGGAACATTCTCTTATGTAACCAGAGTGCAGTTATCATAATTAGGGAAATAGCATAATTAAGGAAATAGATAATAATATTATCTAATCTCAGTTTATTAGAATTTCACCAATTATCCAACTAATGTCCTTTAAGCAAAAAACAAACCAGAAACCCCACATTCCATTCAGGATCCAATCCAGAATCATGTGTGCTAGTTAGCTGTCATGTTTCTTTAGCCTATTTAATCTGAAACAGTTCCTCTGTGTACTGGTTACATGACATTAACATTTTTGCAGAATTCAAACTATTTGTTTTGTTAAATGTTCCTCAATTTGGGCTCATCTGTTGTTTCCCACGTGATCAGAGTTAGATTAAATTTAGGTTATGCTTTTTATCCTGTACCTTTATCTTTTTCACCAGGAAGGCCACTGAGTGTTATATTCCTCTTAGTGCATACTTTGCAAAAGGCTATGTTTATTTGTTCCAATCCTGGATTAGATTAACTGGTTACTTGGTTAAGGTGGTACCTACCAGTTTTACCCACTGTGAAGTTACTAGTTCATTCCTTTCAAATTAAAAGGTAATGTACGTGGACATACTTGGAGGCTGTCTCAACGAGAAACAAAGAAACAGTCACTGCTAGTTTTAGCCATCATTTATGGTTCCACTAGCAACGCTGGTGATTTTCTACTTCCATTGCTCCTTTGCACTTTGTGGTTGGTGTTTTGCTATAAAGAAGAGGTTTGGGGTTTTTTTTGTTTTTTTTTTGTTTTGTTTTGTTTGAGACAGAGTTTTGCTCTGTTACCCAGGCTGGAGTGCAGTGGCGCAATCTTGGCTCACTGCAACCTCCCACCTCCTGGGTTCAAGCGATTCTCCTGCCTTAGCCTCCCAAGTAGCTGGGATCATAGGCATACATGCACCATCACACCCAGCTAATTTTTGTATTTTTAGTAGAGATGGGGTTTCACCATGTTGGCCAGGCTGTTCTCGAACTCCTGACCTCAAGTAATCCACCTGCCTCGGCCTCCCAAAGTGCTAGGATTACAGGCGTGAGCCACTGCGCCCCTGCCATGTGCAAGTGCTTTTGGTCACCCTTTAAAGAGGAGTTCAGTTCTAGAATTTGTGAATATAGATGTTAATAATGGAACAGGTGCCTGCTCTTACTATCTTGTATATTTTCCAAGGAATAGAGTAAGCCAAACATACCCCCCTAACCAATCACACAGGAGACCCTATTTCTAGTTAGTCACTTCCAGCTCCTCCACACCAACAGCCTCCAATCAGGGCATGCCTGGAGCCTTCCCTCCCCTCTTTCCACCAAGGTTTCCCACTCCTCTCCCTGCCTTTGAGTCTCTGCCAACACAAGTGATGGTGGCCAACTCCCTTGCTATGGCAAGCTCTGAACAAACACCCTTCGTTTGTTCTTATTTCAGTGGTTTTTGTTTATTTCCCCACAGGGAGAAGGGAGAGAAATCAGAAAGTTACCAGAAGGACACCTAGCTCCACTCCAAGACCTTGAGAGGCTATGACA